CGATGTTGATAACCCAAGTCTTCCACAACTTGGATAGAGTCAAGGGCCGCAAAAGCAACATGATTAACAAGGATAGCGTCAATGGAGGTGCAATTGTCTCCGCTGCCCGAAAAGGAACCATCTCTCGAATACGTGAGGGGGCGAAAAAGAGAACCATCATCCAACACAGTTTGCAAGGGGTCAAACCATCTGTGAAAATGCAACACATTTGAAACGGCGGGGTAATTCATGGGTTCCGCTTGAAAATCACCCGCGACAATAATCGGAATGTCTCCGAATTGTGCAGCAATTTCAAAAATGGACTCAAACAGGGAATTATTTAGATCCAGGATATCATTATTGGCCGAAGCCCCTGTTCGGGCGTAGACAGAAAAGACCAGTGCACGGATGTTGGGGAGGATTTGGGTCCAAACAGCATTCACCCTTTTTGTTTTAAAGATGGACGCATAGAGGCCAGTCATGTCATGTTCTTCAAGAAAAGGGCGAGTTAAGAGGCCAGAGCCGACAACGGCTGTACCTCCGTGCATAGTCGTGTGAAGGCCGTCGGAGCGAATAATCCCTGCAAGAAGTTCCCCGCAAAACAAGGTTTTTCCCGAAGCCTGAACTTCTCTGGAACTCACACGGAAATTGTTTCTGCCGATCCGTGTTTCTTGGAGACAGATCAAAGAATCATCCGTATTCCGCCAGAAATTGGAAGTCTTTAAACTACCGATATTTGCCGAGCAAATTGACCATGTTGAGTGTTCCACAGTAGGCGGACCTTCACCTGGGAAACCTAAACTCGAATCGAAATCGTGAACACAACCATGCGATGGTGCCCATCCAAACACAAGGCTGCACGAGCGCAAAATGCACTCATTTTTGCAAAAACGCGGTGGCTGGTGCTGTCGTAAGTCATGCAACGAAAGCTTCCTACGGAAGTCACACATACTCCAGCATTCAAAAACACGAACCGAAATGAAACGATCACAGAAAACGAACTGCTGAAACACTGAGAGCATGGAGGGCTCCATGGAGGAAGACGAAAAGTGCTCCCGGAGAGCAAAATGCAACACGTCAAGAATTGCGCTCTGGAGCGAGCGACATAGCTGTAATGCACAAAGGACAAACTCATGCCTCGTCTGCATCGAGCCAAGACCTAAGAATCTGTCAGCAGAGAAAATGGCAAAAGCAATGATCCCGGAGACCATTGCGCCCCCAAGTGATGGAGCTGCCCAAGCCACAGAAATCCACAGAGAAACATATGCACCAAGGCACGCGAGGCTAAAAAGCACAGAGAGACAAGAAAAGGAGGAACCGAACGAAGAATTCCAAAATCCATAGCACGGAACAAACTCCATCGGAGACCGTCACAGAAGGCTGTCATGCCGCGGGTGTTTCGGGTTGGGCGTCTCACCCGTCGACTCCCTTGGATGGGCATTGGATGCTTGCAGAAGCTGTCGTAATGAATCCGAAATGTCCGAGAAACGCGAGTCCATTTTCTCTTCCATGCGCAACTGCCGGTTCTCAAGCTTATCGAACTTCTGCTCAAGGATCTGAATGCGGTGGGATTCACTGGTCGCAAGAGGGTTCGGAGCAAAGTGAGCAGGAGGAGGATGGCTGACAGGTGCAGCATGAGAGGGTTTGCCTTCGGCAGTACCCTTTTCCTTTCTCCATTTCTGTGCTTTTGCAGAACCACGAACAGCCGGCGTTCTGTCTTCTTCCACAAGCAGAATCTCGAAGGTTTCACCGTTGATATTCAGCGTGAACCTCAACGTGGTAGGTCTGGATCCAAAACCTAACACCCACCCGAAAACTCCATTGCTTCGAAATGCCTTGGACGGTACAGGCGCAAGTCCGACCGCCTGAACGGTCGACTGCACTACACATTTCGGTTCGATCGCAGGCGGCCATCCCGTAGAAGAGAATTGAAACCGTGGCACAATGTCCAAATTCTCTTTGGTCAAGCGGGTGTCATTGGGCAAAACGGCTGCCCTGACTGCAGCGATCTGGCTGTCCCATGCACGTGTGGCGAATCCTCGCCTGGTGATCACTAAGCCAGCAAAGCCCTGGATGTCCTTCAAGATGATTCTGGCTTCGTTCAGCTCTCGAGGGGTCGTCTGCCAGAACTTTGGCACTACCGACAAGTCCGTCGGTTGCCCTGATTGGTCGAAAAAGTCTCTCACCAGGACAGGGAGGAGCCCACTGGACTGCAGGACATTCTTGCGGTGCTTGGCCGGAACTTTGACGATGCACTGGTACTGCGGCTCGAGGCGACTTGCTGCAGGATGGTGCCCAATGCGGAGTGCATAAAAAGCAAAGTCATCTTTGATCGAAGGATGTAGCTGTGTCAAGGCATCTTTGATGTACTTCATAGGGTCACTCTTGACAGCTTCATGTTCGTTCTGCATGAGAAGTCTGGAGTCCACCTCCGCCACAAGTTCGACAACAGCAGTAGCATGCATCGTGATTTTTGGTGTCGGCAGCGAATACCGCACAGTGCCAAACAAAGGAAGCAGGACAACCAACCTTTTATATTCAGCTTTAAGTGCCGGATCATGAAGGATCAACTCATGTGGCCCAACAAGTTTCTTGCCCAAGTCACTCAATGTCAACTTCTCTGAGGATGGCAGTACCAGCGTGGTGGGAGCCTCAAAGGACAAGCGCATCAACTCAACAATCGCAGCTTTCGTAGCTAAGATTGCCCCGGCTTTCCGTGAGCTGGCTTGCAATTTATGAGTCTGTGGTAACATGCCACCTTTGTCATCAACAATCGGGTGCTGGTCTGGCAAGACCAAGTCCTCCCACTTTGTGGTGGGTTGCTTCTTCGGCTTGCGAGTCCACGGATCAGATTCCAACCAAGGATCAGGACCAGACTTGGAGGAGTCAGGAGGCGAACCCGGTTTGCCCGGTGAAGTGGGCTTGGCAGGCGTCATCACTGCATCATTCTCACCTCCAGCACATGAGTACGTGGCGGCAATTCTTCCCTCCAAAATGCGAAGCAAGAAGCTGGTGCGCACATCGAATGCAAGCTCAACAGTGCTCTCTTGAGCTCCGGATGAAGTCCAAGCATGGGAGCTATTCAGCCGAATCTCCTGAACAATTTCTCGATGTCTCGACGAAGAGAAAATGTGCGAAGCAGCAAGTGCACTGTCAGGCAAGGAGCACTGGTGCCGAACAAAAATGCTCTCCAGAAGTGTCCACCCACACATGTGCTGAGGAGTGTGGAATGGAATGAAAATCTGTTGGACAGTATACGGCTGTAGGGCATGAGTGCGTGCCACATGGCCAACTATGTCAGGCAAGTAATGTGCCAAGCTGTTTGGAGCCGACATGAACAGTGAGACTGGGACGTTTGGATCACGCAAAAGCTCAACCAGGACCCAGGTTGTGCCAATGATGACAGGCCAAATGACATGTGGGTGGAACCAAGTGTCTGGTGTGCGACCCTCAAAGAATTCAAAGCAATCATCCTGTTCATTCCACTGCGCAGGAGGTGCAAAATACGTGTTCACATAGAGAGGGCGCAATGAATCAAGCACCGCATCAAACTCATCAGAATGCAGCCATGCCGGATGCTCACGGAGATGAAAGAGTCTGCGCGGAACCATATAAGGTCAGGAATGATAGCTTGGTGCTCCAGGGTAGCTTGATTTCTGGGAGGAGCCGGGGCATCACTGTCAACGAATGAAACGAACAGCCGCTCAGTGGTGACTGGAGTAGGAGGAGGACCGCGGTTTGCCAAATGCACAAAGAACTCCCGCCTAAGCCTCGCAGCTGAAGTCCATTCAGCAGTGGGAATGCCAGCATTGTGCCAATCATCGATGGAGGCAACCAGGACTTCGTCAATCAAGTGCCTACGGTCAAGAGATGTTTGCAAGTATCCATCATTGACAGCTGGGACGATATCGATGAGATTCGCACGAGAAATCCAACGGGCTAACAACTGCCAACCACAGAAGTGCTCACGTGGTGGGAGAGTGACTTGATGGGCAGTCAGGTGAGAAGGATTTAAATCCATGATCCGAGCCACAGCCCAAATGACATTCTGCACAAGAGGCCCTGGAAAACCAATCACTTCCACGACAGTTCGGGCACCCGCCTTGAGAACTTCGACAGCAGCCCAATGTGCACCGCACAAGATCGGAATCACAGTCAACCTGTTGTTGGGAATGATGATCTCATGGTACGAAGAAGCATCGAAGTCCAACATTTGCAAATCCCATCTGACGATCGGAGCAAACTGCGCAAAAGAGGTGTTGGTCCATTGGATGCATTCAACAAAGTATCGCATCTCGTCCGATGCAAGCCAACCTGATGAATTGATGGCGAACTCACACCTGGAACCGAAGTCAGCACCAGCCGGCAAGGACATGGGTTGGGCACCGTGGTGACCTCCAGCATGGATGACGGCAGAACTGAGCCGCTGCAGTTCGACAAAATCACCATGAGCTAAGACCGTCGAAAGAGGATCGAAGCCTGTGCCATTGTGCGCAACAATCTGATGCAGAATGCCATCAACAGACAGCACGTCGGAGCGACAGACATTGGAAGTGACACGGATGCAACAAAGCTCACTGGATGGCACCTGAACAACCAACACAATGTCACTTTGCTCGGAAGAAGTGACCTGCCTGTTGCAGACAATGACGTGCGGGATCGCACGCGTGTCAACGATCTTGGACCTCTTTAAGTCGGGCTCAACCTGATGGCTAGCATCATCAACCGGCACAGGCATACTACTAGGATTGAAATACTTGAAGTTATACTATAAGTTGATTTACAACTTCGTTAACATCTACTATAAGTTCACGCACGCCGGTAGAACTTACTAGGACTAGTAGGAACTTAATAAGTTCGTCGACTTGGAAGTTGGTTGTAACTTCAGGGAACTTATGGGAACTTAGGGGAAGTTATTGTTTCTCCTTTTTTTAGGGCACGGCAGGCTCGCTTGCGTGTAAATTAAATTGGATTTTAGGTTTGCAGCTTTTTTGGTCCGAGCTGTTTCCTCGTTGCAGACCATGGCGGTGAGACTGCTGGAGGAACTGGCAGGGAAGGTCGCAGAGTCACAGGGAGACCGCATGGGAGTACTGCAGGGCGCTCTGCCTGCTTGGCTGGAATACGTACAGTCACTAGACGACGCGCAGGCCGTTGAGGGTTACCTGGAGACTGCGCCACACGGTCTGCAACATGCGGAGTCGGACGCTGTGCGCTCCGCTGTCATCCGCAAGTTGAAATCCGCGCGGGCCTGCGGGGCCCGACGCAAACAGCAGGACTACTTTTGTTTTCCACGCTACTTGACTTTGGAAGAATGGGGTCGGATATCTTCTTCCCCGACTGAACGAGTAGCGTCAGAGGTGCTGGCGGATGTTTTGTATGCCAGAATGGGTCTACGCGCGCCCACGGAAGCGACCTACGCCATGTGCGTGGCAGTGCTGGCGCACACCCATGGGCATCTAAGGGACACCACGTTCCAACTCGGAACACTTCTGCAAACGATGAAGCAAGCCTGGCGCGCACACTTCCGGAGGCATGATGTGAAGGGAGAGGATGAGTGTTTGCTGGAGTTGTTGCCAAAGGAATCCTCACAAATTCCTCTGGCTGCCAAGGAGCGACTCAACCTGGAAGCGTTGACTCCGGAGGATCGCATGCCTGTGTCGTGGGCACAGCTGACAGCATTCGCACCACGCGTGCGGTTGCGGCAGTCTCGACCTGAGACACGTGAGCAAGCATGGATGCCACAGTTGGCCGAACTAGTGTCTCAGCTGCGCGCTCGGGACGATGGAGGTCTGCGCAACCTGAAGATTTTTCCTCGAACGGACGGAGGGCAAATGGCACCGTTGGCGTTGGGAGACGCTGGACAGGACAGGACTGGAAGCCTTCAAGAAGTGGCAGTCCAAAGTCTACGTGACTTACCGGGTCCGCCGGCTGCATCCCACCGGGAAGCCGCTGGACAAGTACTGATGATCCACGCGGAGCCGAGTGTTGCAGGGGACGGCCAGTGTGCAGTGGTGCCTCTGTTGCCAGGGCCATCACTGGAAGTCCAGGAGACACAGACAGAGACACCTCCGCCTGTTGAAGATGAGGTGAAAGCTGGGGGCCAGTTTTTACAGCAAGCAGAAGCGTTACTACGTGCGCGCGCACAAAAGCGCACCGCGACAGAGGACCAGGCGTCCGCCAAACCAAAGGGCAAGGGGAAAGCCAAAGCAAAGGCCAAGTCCGGCGCGAAGCAGGCGGCCGCGAAGTCGAAAGCCGCTGCGGGGCGCGGACCAGCCAAGCGACCAGCCACGCGACAGGCGCAGAAGTCCGTGGCCGGCGCGCAGGCGAGTGATGGGGATCAGGCCAAGCCGGGCAACATCACCTTCGAGGCCAAGGGCTGGGGCCCTTGCAAGGCTGAGTTTTATACCCACAAGTCCTACATTCGACACATGGTCGACGGACGTTTGCGGATGATCATCGGAAGCACAGCTACGGGCCATGCTTCCATCTGTCGCAACCTTGTGCGTCACGTGAAGTCGGGAAAGACTCGAGAAGCGCTGACCCTGATCCGAGATAGGATGGTGCAAGAGCGTGGGACGTAGGCGCATGGACAGTGACCTATATAACGGCACATGGGAGCGAAGTATAAAAAGGTGCTTTCTTTTTTGAGGGTGGGGTCTTCGAGCATGTTGCTTGCGTGCATGCACCGCAGCCGCATCTCGCAGCCGTGAAGCTCTGCAGGGCACGCGCTCGACACGCCCCTATTTCGTCTAGTGGCCCGACGGAGGCGGGACTGCGAGTGGCCGTCGCCGGATCGACAGAAAAACGGTATTCTTTGTGTTTCTTTTTATGCAATGCTTTTTTATTTTCGACGTCTGTTCCGTGACTTCGCGCGGACACTCTGCGTGGCACACAGCGTGGTGAACACACTCTGTCAGACTGTGCGTTGGAGGGCCCGTGCCTGCGTAGCATGCCCACCTGCGTGGCGGACTGACCTACTGGTCCACCTGCGCGGCGGACCAGCCACGTGCGTGGTCGAGTTGCTTGATGGTCCACCTGCGCGGTAGACCGGCCACCTGCGGTGAACTTATGGTCCACCTGCGCGGTAGACCGGCCACCTGCGTGGT